GAGTAACGAAATGGGCAATTCCCATTTGCTCTTAAAACCAACTCTTAAAATCTTACTCCTCACTCTGTACTGCCTACTGCCATTGTAGATGACGCATAAGATTACGTACGAGTTTAGGTTTAGAATCAGTACTTAACGTAACGTAATGCATTACGGAAAAGCTTGTGCGGTGGCCCTAATCGGGTTTAATAACATCCGTAGTTGTGAAACTGGCCAATCACAGCTATTCCTCTGAAGAATGGAATGACTGTGATTGACCAGCCTTCGAACTACGGATGTTATTAAACCCGGTTAGGGGTGAAGTGTAAACGTAGTCACTAAAAACAGTATACTCTCCTACTCCTACAGCCTTGTTACTGCCATTGTAGATTACGCATTAAACTTCAGTCAACGCACAAACAAAATCGTAACGTAGTATGCTTTTGTTACGTTACGATTTTCTCTGTGCGTTGACTGAAGTTTAAGATTACTTACGGATTTAGGTTTACAGTCAGTACTTAACGTAACGTAACGTGTTATGGAAAAGCTTGTGCGGTGGCCCTGATACGGGCTTTAGGATTTAAGATCGTCTTAGTGCCGGTCTACAATATCTAGACCGAGCGTTTGCCTTTATTTAAGGAGTGGGGGCCGATGCCCACGTAGTGCACGTAGAACTCTGTTTCGTGCTCCTTGCGTTCTCTCTCGCTCGCACGTAGCATGACGAAAGAGAGCGCTATAAGTTATTTCTAGAAATTCTAGAAATTCTCTATTTTGCAACCAATCAGTATGCTTAAAAAGTTTGTCGCACGACAAATTTAATATTACCCTTAAGCTGATGTTACATTCACACGACAAAATGTTTGTCGAACGTAACGATTGATTATCGAATAGAGAATTTCTAGAGTCTCTATCGAGATTCTCCGAATTCTCCATCTGATTGCCAATCCACAAACATTTTGTCTGAATGTAATATCAGCATTATGGCTCTTGCAGATCAGCGCGATGACGCGACGCGCGATATCCAATGAGAGCT